GTGTTCCGGTATGTGCTTCTGCACAGCTAAGTTTACTTTGTATAAGCAGACATGTCTGTAATTCTATACTTGTATATTTAAATAAACATTTACAAATAGCAGAAATGAAAAATAATCAATGAACTAAAAGTGATATTACTGCTGCACTGCGATCCATGATAAAAAAGTTAAGAAAGTAGCTGTATGTTTCATATGCTGAGATTTTTGCTGTATCCAATCTTCTTCTAAGTTTGAACTTCTAGTTCTGGAAGACAATTTGCCTCATGGCCTTGTCACCAGTAACATGTTTTTTTTTCCGTTGAACACACTGGTACTGTCCTATATAACTAATTGAGTAATTTGACATCGATTTATAATCTTGTGCAGGTAGGTGCACAAGTTGTCTACTCGAAATACGCAGGCACAGAATTGAAATTCAATAACGCTGACCATCTCATTTTGAAAGAAGATGACATAATTGGTATTCTCGACAGTGATGATGTGAAGGATATGAAACCACTGAATGATCGCATTCTGATTAAAGTATGCTTGTCCAGAATATTACTATTGTGATTGTGACACTATCCAGATTAATTGGCTACTGTACTCCTATTCTGCTCACGTTATTTTAAGCAAACTTTTTTCCATGCCACAATTTGTCTGGCAACTTCACTCACAAGTTGCATATGCAATATATGAAAGGTCTCATCTCTTGTGACAACTTATATCAAGTTTAGAAAATTGTGTTTGCACCATTTGCAGCAGAATAAACCATATAATACGGCATATTCATGCGCTAAGAACAGAACAGGAAAGCCACACATTGGACAGAAGTCACAAAAGTTTTATGATGTCTTTGGCATATTCACGATATGTCTTCATGTCTTCTGTCAAGTCTGGATACTAGAAGCAAAGCTTGTCCAGGAAGCTCCATTTTGTGCATTCCATAGCCGATAGGAACTCTTTGACTTGACTCAATCCACCACTGACCCATTCTGAGTCAAATCTTGTTTGGCATTTGTCATACATTTGCACCATGTCGAGTACCCCAGCCTAAGGTTATCCATCTCGTACGCATGCACTGTGATAGTGGTTCTGTGAAACGTTATCCCTTGTTTTGGGATAATGGAATAGTAACATACTACTATACTGGCCTCTGCAGTGACATTTTCTCCTTTAAAGATTCAAATGTATATTATGTTCTATACTAGTTTATTCTTCAAATAGTCAAATTGGACAATAACTCGGCACATTCCATCTGGCCAAGAGGAAATCTGTGTTTTAGTGCATGCTAAGCAGCAGCTATGCTCTGTGCTGTTGGAGTGTGAACTATGACATCCACATTTACAATACCATTTTTTACTGAATCTTTTTATTCTCCTTCTGTACCAGGTTGCTGAAGCTGAAGAACAAACTGCTGGTGGTTTGCTATTGACGCAGGCGACTAAGGAGAAGCCTTCTGTTGGAACAGTGAGTATTTTAGGTTTAGTATATGCAGCATTTGCAGTTATTTATTTGATTATCTGTTGATTATGATTGCTTATGTTTTCAAGTTATGAACACATTAGCTGTTCAACAGCTGAATCCTTTCAAAGACTTGCTTATTTTGTTTTGGGCCTTTGAATTTTGGTGGTGGGCATCAGTAGTGAATTTAACATGTTCTAGACTTCTAGTGGACTAGTAACAGCTGAGTTGAAGTATGCTTGACTTTTTAAGTTTCAACAGTTTTATTATTGCTTACATGCTGCAAGGAAAGGGAATTGATTTGAAAAAGCTGCAGGTCTTGGCCAGTATTTGATGCCCTTTAGCTGTCTCCTGCTTGTGTGGTTCGCTACAGAGGTTTGGAGATGGTTACTATGGGCATGTTTGGATACCATGGGCTAATTGTTAGCTAGCTAATTTTAGCTCAAATTAGCTATGGTGTGTTCAAACAAGAGGGATAATAGGTGGGCTAATTTTTTAGCCCAAGTCTCCAACTTTTTTTTTTGTAACCAACCATAGCTAATTTGGGCTAATTTTTAGCCCAACTAGTTGGCCGTCTGTTTATAAGGAAAAACACAAGGCACATAGAGTTCAACGTGCAGCCTTTAGTGCGGAAAGTGCAGCTGCCTAAGAGTTACTCGTACAATAGAGTGACCACCTCACTAAAAAAGAACAAACAATCATACAGAATTATACTTCATCCGTCTGTACCCCTTACATACTATGTATACATTCTCCACTTTATTCGTTCAGTCCTGACATGGAGCTCGTTTTCTTGAGTCTAATACACGTGTGGACACAGGTGGTAGCCGTTGGACCAGGGCCGTTGGGTGAGGACGGCAGCAGGAATCCCCTGCGGATCACTCCTGGAAGCAACGTGATGTATAGCAAGTATGCAGGGAGTGAGTTCAAGGGCCAGGACGGTGAGTACATCGTGCTCAGGGCGTCTGACGTGATGGCTGTTCTTACCTCTGATCCCAAAGCATACAGCGCCATCTATGAAATGTAGGAAGTTTTGATGTTGAGGCCGAACCTTATCTTTCATTTTTCTCCTGTTTGGAATTGCTGGAAGGTCTCAACTGTATTTTGGTGCGAATTATAAGGAAAATAAGCTGAGTAGCGTAGACTAGAGACAGGAATGTGCTCTGCTGTTTGGCTGGTAGGTGAGCTGACCAGCATGTCGGATTCGGCTGTTCTTCATGGCAGTCAGCGTTTTACACCAAGACTAGCCAACACATCAATATTACTAACATTTTCACTCTTGCAAGGACACATGGGAGTTCGTAGTCAACAGGCGTGAACGAGGGCATTTGTTCGGTTGGTGGAGGCTGAGGATAGTGGATAATGATAGGAGAGTTGGTGAAGAGGACCTCGTGCCAATATGAGGGGTCATATGGAATGTTATTTCTGCATCGGCACGAGGGCACCTAACTCCTATACGCAAAGCTGTGTCATGGCCTCATCTGCTCATGGCATCCCTCTCAAAGCATGCCGGGAGGGAAGAATAGATTTTGTGGAACCATAATGATATGCCACGGGCGTCCGGCCCATGACTTGTTCGGACGCGGCTCGCAGGAGCAGGTCTCATCTCTCTCGGAAAAAAAAATCCTTACTCGCTCATATGCTTATCCGCCCAGTGTCCGCCGTAGCCTGGGCGCTCATCTGTCCGCGCCCCTTCCCTCACCGTGTGCTCGTTGATTGCCACGCCGTGCCCTTCCCCCAACCGCCCCACATCCCATTGCCGGCCGTGCCATGCGCCCGTCCCAGTCACCGTTCGTCTGTCCCCCATCGCCATCGCGCGCGCCGCTGACCCCGTGCATGGCCGTTGGGGGCACGTGCCATGGCGTCTCAGCTCTTCCCCGACCGAGCCGAGGGCAACCACGAGTGCGGCAGGTGCTGGTGGTGCTCGCGCTACGGCTTGCCGCCGGCTCCCACCCTAGCGGCCGGAATCGATCGGACCGGCCTTCCCCTCCCTTATGTTGCATATGTATGTTTCAAGTATTTCAAACGTTTCAAATGTATGTTGAAATTGTTTCATCTTGATGTTGCAAAAGTAGATCAAGTATGTTGCACATGTTGCATATGTTGCAAGCGTTTGTTCAAAATATTTCATTTGTTTTCAGATGTATGTTGCAATCATTTTTGATCTGGTGTTGCATATGTTTCACACATATGTTGCAACAAATATGTTTCTAATGTTTTAGCTATTTTAGTCTTAGGTTGCAGCGAGTGGTTTTCATGTTGCAAGTTGTAAGTGTTTTATTTGGGTGTTTCATGTGTTTCACACACATGTTGCAAGTGCATGATCCAAATGTTTTATCTATTTTAGACGTATGTTGCATTTTTATGTTGCAAGTGTTTTATGTTGTTTGGCTAGAGGCGAGCCGGAGGCCGGCGGACGGGATGCGCGGCGCGCTGGGGGCTGGCGGATGAGGGTGCTGCGGGTTGGGGCGCACTAGGGGAGTCGGAGAGTCGCCCAAGTGTTGCCCGTGCGGAGAGTCGGAGAGGGAGGAGGAGGTCGAGGGAAGGACTGGCGGGCACAGAGCCGAAAGCGGACTGTACTCGTGGGGCAGGGCGTTGGTGGACGGAGGTGGGTTGCTCAGGCGTCCGGAGCATGTGTCCGTCCGGACGTTCGGGCGCTAACCACTCCATGTGTGGAATCCTTGCCGCGAACTGCGACGGCTGGAGCCTGGAAGACAAAGTCCATCAGAGATGATGCTTTGCTTTGTAGCACCGTGCAGAACCTGAATGAATTGTCTTCAGTCCATTCTGACGACCGGGCTTTGTATGCGCGAAATTCTGCGAGCCATCCACACAAGACCGTTTCACATGCGACACGCATACTCTAGAATCTTGACCGGACGACCGCAACAGTCGGCATCACTAGTGGTGCATGTACCAAAGTTCACGTCAATAGCACCGGACTTACCTATGGCGCTGCTTAGGATGGCACGAGCACGATGCTGCTCGACGGACAAGAAGAACAAAATTTGGATCTGTATAACTACAAGCACGGTTCAAGAGGGTCGTCTTGTCATTGTGATCCTGACCATGTCCAGCGGGAAGTCATTTTATTTTAACGAGTCCGACGACCGATCAACGACGACACGTCCTGCGATAGGATCTTTCTCAGCACGACTTCCCTGACCGAACCCGTAGTTTTCTGGAGATGCCAGAACTTGGCCAGGTCGTCGCTGCCCTGCCATGTACGCCGCCGTTGTTGCAATCAGCTTGCCTGCCCCACCAAGCTAAGTGTTCAGGTCAAGCTTACCAGCCTACTCCCGCATCCCCATCTGCCGCGACCAAATCAAATCAAAACGGCTCAGCTCGCATGCTGCGCGGCAAACCTGGAGTAGCTGAGCCTGCCCCGTGCGACCGCTGGCCCCGACACGGTCACGGCTCGACGGCGCCCAATTGATCGCGCGCCGCGCGGCAGGCACGTATACATAGCGGCATCGCTCAAGGTAGCGGCGGCAGCAGCCGGTTGTTGGCAGGCACGGGCTGGAGTTGCTCTCTCTCGTTCGCGCGGTGTGGTGACGATGGCGACCCACCACGATGCGCTGTGGGCGAAGCTGCACGAGCTGGAGCTGCAGCTCGCGGCGTACAAGCTCCTGCGCGCCGCGCGCGGGGACGGGGACGACGCGGGTTTCGCTTTCGCGGACGGGGCCGAGATGCCGGGGGGCGGCAGCACCTGCCGCGGCAGGCAGTACGACGCCTACATGCGCCGGCGCGACGCCAGGCGCGTGGCCACGTCGGCCGAGCAGCAGCAGCAACCGGCGAATAATAAGGCTCAGCAACCTCGGGGCGTGCGCGCCGAGGGGGCGGGGCGCACCACGCCGATGAGCCCGCGTAGTGCGCTCCGGTGCGCGGCTCGCGACACGCAGGAGGCGGGCGCCACGCCGCGGCTGGTCATCGCCCCGGCGCCGGCGCGGCCGAGGAGCAGGACGGTGAGAGGCGGCGGCGGCTCGACAGGGATCCCGGCGAGGCCGTCGTCGCACCACCAGAGGCGGAACAGCCTCGGCGTGCTCGCCGAGTTCGGCGAGTGCGCCACGCCGAGGCCGTTCCTGAAACGCGGCACGGGCACCGGCGGCGCGGCCGCGCCGGCCAGGCTGCGGACGACGCGGGTGCACGACCTGCCGACCCTCGACGTGGCCATCACCCCGAGGCCGATGCCCCAGCAGCAGCAGCAGGAGGAGCTCGGCCACGCCCACGCGCACACCCAGGCGCCGCGACACTTCCGGTCCGTGTCGGAGCTGCCGTTCGAGACGGCGGCGCTGGCCTCGCCGCAGGCGCGGGTGAGGAAGCGGTGGGGCAGCCCGGAGGGGCCAACGGCGATGTTCTCCGACTCGCACAGGGACCTGTCCATGGGGCTCAAGAAGCTGCTGAGCTTCGTGAGGAAAGGCGGCAGGAGCGGCGGCGGCGGCGGTGACCAGCCTGTCCCGGCGCCCAGCCCGCGCGGGAGTGGGAAGCCCGTGAGCAAGGGGTGGTCTGGTTGCTCCCACGTCGACGTCCCGTTCGACCGCGCAAGCCTGGACGGGCACCGGTTCCCCATGACGCGGGCAGTTGGCATCTCCGGATGAGGCCCTGCGCGGCACGGCGCCGAACAGTGTGTGACACGCCATGAGAACCGCCTTGACTGCTCCGCGTTCAGGTCAGCTCAGGTGGTTCGACGAGCCAGAGCGTCGCTCACTGCCCTTCCCTGTGCCTCCCTGCTTGTTGGTGTGAAGCAGAGTTCAGAGACCACCCCCAAGTCCCAACGCCCCAAGCTAGCGAGCAAAGTCGGTTTAGAGTCTGTCGCGCAGAGAATTCGCCTTTACAAACGGGCTGTGTTGAGAAGTTTTTGTTGTTACTGCTGGAGCTTAGAGATAAATTCTGTAGCTTTAATTTCCATCTGAACGTCTGGATTATGCTTGCGAAATGGAGGCATCCTACGAAGGAGTAGCGAAATCTGGCACGGTCCCGGCCGTACCGTAACCGTACGGTGTTGCTGGCGATCTCTGCCGCCGCTGGAGCATTCAGATTTCGGCGGTGCCCTTTGTTTTAATTCAGATTTCGGAAGGCAGTGCGTACGCTGCCGTATCCACACGGGCTAGGGCCGCGGAACATCAGGCTAAGGGTTCGTTCGGTTTAGCTACGAGACATGGAGAAGTTACAGTGAGCTGCGAAAAAGATGAACAATGAGCTATAAAAGTTTATTTTAAATTATGTGTTGTGAAAAAAGGCAACTGATCTGGTACTTCTTTTAAAAGTAGCACGAATCTCAAAGCATCCTATTAAACTAAGTGATTATTTTTCTTAAGGGATTGATTTGTTGCCTGAGTCGTGGTTGCGCTCAACTTGTCCCACCCAGCCTCGCGTCCAGCCCATCAGCTCTCACGTCCTTTATTCTGTGCCGCTCCGTTACTTCATCGAAGTAGAAGGCGTCCTGATCAGCAGCTGCTGGTGGACCGAGCCAGGGGCGACGCCTCCTTCCCCCTCCTCCCTTGATCACATTTCGTGAGCCGGCAAGGAAGTTCGGCGGCGCGCGCCATCGTCGAAGGAGAGGACATCCCAAGCAGCGGCGACTGCCGGACTGTAGCGGAGGGAGGCGCCTCCTCCCCGGATCCCATTTCGTTGTGTTGGCAACCGGCGAGGTTCGGCGGCGCCGTCCAATTTGGCATGCCCTCATGAGGAGGTCCGTGCCTCGATCCACGTCCTCGACTAGGCAGCGCGTGAGATTCAGGGTGAGGAGATCCACGTCCTCGACTGGGCTAGGTTCCGCGGTGGCGGTGGCAATTGCGGGGTCACCACCGAGCGGGCCAAGGGTGGCGGCGCGATGTATATACTGATGGAAGTTCGTCACCAACTGCTGCCCATGTTTCAAGTGTGCGAGGATGACCAGCGCAACGGCTGTGCCATGGATGGTGCCGCTAGCCCCGCCGATGAGGCAGCACGACCACCGAAATGTCAAGCTGCCTGCCATTGCATCACCCGATGTCGTTGAGGAGGTGGACACAGCAGATGGCCTAGAGAGTTCACCGTGGTAGCACTGTGTGCCAGGGGCCATCCACAGCGGTTGAGAGCGACGAGAGGGCATTGAAACCAGGTATGCATCACGCTTTAGTGCTATGACCATCCATTTTGTTGATGTAAGCACCAAATAATTGAGAAACTGCATTGCACATTTCTTGTGTTAAGTTTGCTTGCATATTGCTTCTTTTCTTGGTGGGGAATAATTTCGAGATGTAGGATCCAATGGCAATAAAGAACCAAATATGGAGTCCACCTATGCGTTTGTATCATTTGAAGACCCTAGCCTATGATTTACGGATGAAACTTTGCTTCTTGTTTAGCTCAACGTGAATGTACATTCAGTACAGTTGCACGATGAAGACCATGAACCTTATAGTAGATTTAGATCCTTGAGATGTCACCAAATTTGGAACCCAAAGACAGGAAAATATAACTTAAGAACAGAGTCAGACAGAGACGAGTCAAAAATAGTTATGCATGCTTTTTTCATGCTCGCCATAGTTTGTATTCTGCATTTGACATATCTTCAGTACCTCGTTTGCAGTATCTCGTGTATCAGATAAGATTAGCTGATGCTTTCTAAGCTATGTGTTGTGGTACTAGTACAAGAAACAAATGCTATCAAATTTAGTGCATCATTATCTTTTGTTCAACTGTTATTTAAATGTCCGGTGCTTATTCTTTGCCCTTCACATTCTTCGGTTATTCTTATTTTTTACTTTTAAGGTGACAAATAATTGTGCACACAGGGAAATGCATACCAATCACAAGTGGGGCTGGGATCTATCAAGAACACATGAATTAAGCCCTTGACGTGCTTAGAAATGGAGGATGGATATGGGTTATTTTTTACAATTACATACTGAACTTTCTGTCATCAACAATTGCCATATCTCTGCCTATGGATTCTGTGCCCTCTGTTTAATTCCAAATTCTATCATGACATATTCAAATAGTTGCATACATTCCCTGAAGGAAAAATAGACCAAGACAATCAGCCAATTAGAAGATTGAAGTGGGGAACTGCTAGTCTTATTGTGCGAGCACCTATAACTCCAATAGTTTTACCAATTGTTCACTCCGGTTTTGAAAAGGTACATGAAACTGTTATGGCATCTTGTTAGTGAATACCTCGTAGTATGTGGTATAGAACATTCTTTTTGAAATATGAATATATTATTAGCATGCTGCCATTTACTTCCAACGACGACCACCAGTGCCACTCTGCAGTAAGAAGATAGATATCATTGTTGGAGAGCCAATAGAGTTTGACATGCTAAGCTTGAATCAAGAAGCATCAATGATGCTACCCCGTGAATCATCCTTTGAACGGAAGGGGTGGTCAACCATTACACCAGATAGGCTAGACGAGGTTGCGCAGAGATGGCTTTACGAGAAGATATCAGACATGTTTTTGTGACAATTAGATGACATTTTGAAATATTTTAAATGATGTCGTACTTGGATCATCTTTTACACTGTCATGGATCACATATCTGCAATAAGATCTAAAGAGTGCTCCATGTTTTAAACTTAGTTGTCACGATGACTTTACTACTCATGCTTACATGTATGTATGTATGTATGTACGTACGTACGTACGTACGTCGTGCATACTTGTGATTTGAGGCTAGTTTTGATTTGGGTCATTCATTTGTTGCTGCGACGTCATTGGTTGTTTGTCTTTTTATTAACCTGAATGCCTGATATGCAAAATTTATGGATTTGGCCAGGGTAAACTTGGGTGTTTGTCTGTCGACAGAAGGATTGCAATAGAACTGGTAGTAGTAGTATGTCACAGTATGGCGTACCACTACTATTCAAAAGAGATGGACAAAAAAGAAAATGTGAATACTTGTTCATTCTTTGCTTAAATTTTTTTATTTGCAAAAGTATAAATATATATACTATCAATTCACTAAAATGAATGTTTTACTGTCGCTACTCTTTAAAGTCCCTTAAAGAACCACATGTTGTGTAAGCTTATAAGCAGTAATACGAGTATATAAATGTATTTGTATTACTTTTGCTAAAATCCCTTAAAGAGTTTACATATTTTGTGTAAGCTTACAAAGCACTAATACGAGTATATAAATATATATCTCTTACTTTTGCCTTTGTACGGGGGATGTATCTAAGCCACTCGAGGTCAATGCTTCCTTGGTCTCTCTTGATCCGAATTAGTAAAAACTTTAGAAAGTACACAAGATTAGATAATACACTTTATGTTCATTTAATCGATTAGAGAATTAGTTTCGACATCATTACAACAAACAAAATGAAATGTAAGGAAAGAGTACCACTTTGTAAAAAGATTATGCTTTCATAAGGACAATGCAACAGAGTTACGAAATTAATGAAAAGAATCAAGAAGTTGATGTTAACTAATAACTGTTATGCTTGTAAAACAAAATAAAATATAAAATCTCTAGATTGAAATGTCTCCATGATTTCTTGGATGCACATTTCTACAGTTATTTTGTAAAGTTATTATCTAGTTAGAAATCTTGGTATACATGTTAGAAATACTAGCATTAAAAAAAGATGCTAGATAAAAATTAGGTGTCATAAAAAGAGAAGACATGCATTGGAATTTTAAATGGTACAGTTGTGACTATGTACCAGTATTCTGAATGCCATCTGGCTTTGAGTTACAGCATTCTTCGATTTCACCAAACGATGCATGCAGTAGAGCTTCCCAATCAATTGTTTCACTTATTTCTACCCATTTTTGTAGGCTTCCTCAAGTAGATATTTCCAACGAGAGGCATCGGTTTCTATGAAAGATTTAATGTCATGTGAAATTTTCGTCACCGTCGTCAGAAATTTGAGCCGTTCTAGCAACACATTCTTTATACGCTCTTCATCCCTGGACCAATTTGATATTTCTCCTGTTCTAAGCGATGTAATGAGCTCATTTATGTCCTTATCACGTTGTTTAGACACTCCTAAACCCATATGTTATCAAAGTTACATTTGTACTTTGGGCAACATTGCTTTCATTTTTCGCAAAGGAGAATTTTGCAGCTATGTCCATAAAAGCATTGCTGAAAAATCCAAAAGGCCGGTTATAGGATCGTCCAAACAATTAATTTTGAAACTATATTAAAAATGAATACATATGAGTTCAACCTAACTTGTGTGAACGTCCGTGACATTTTGTGTTAGGAACGTGCCGACCACGGAAGTAAGTACGATTCCTTTCCAATTAGAAAACTCCCTTTTACCTGTATGTACGTGAAAATATATCTTAGAAATTGCTTCGTGTTAACTTAAACACATTAATACACGAAAATATATATCTTAGGAATTCCTTCATGTTAACTCAAAAAACACGTCAATAATGCATGACATGAATACATGAATGAATTAACAAATGAATGTTACCGATGGTTGCGCACACATGCCCCGTGAACTTATCCACTAGGAATTGCAAACAGTGGCGCTCCTCTCCTAGCTCAGGGCCCTCAGGGATGCTGTCCAGGTCCTCAACCAAGCACGTCTCGTTCGCTTGCACCAGCTCATTGTACATTGCCTCTATTGCAGGGGTGATGCGCACCAGCTGTCGCAACATCTTCGTGTTGGGGAGCACCACGGAATCGGACCTCCAATCCGCTACGTACATTACCTCTATTCCAGTTGACTCATTATGAACGACAAGCGCCATGGCGATAAGGTCTTCATCTGCAATGATGGCACCTTCGTCACTAGCGGTGGCGGCCTGCTTGCTCTTGTAAGGCACCAAGGAAAGTTTCACCACCCTTCTTGTTGCCATCGCCTTGCTCTTTCCCTTGTTGGCGCCATATTCATCTACCGTGGAGGTGGTATCGATGACGCCGAGGGGTAGCAGCAGGGTGTTTTTTTATTAGCAAGGGACCGTAGGTTCTCCATTAGCTCTGCTTGGTTCTAGGAGCGCAGATCCATCTTCAGCGTTGCTGACGTACGTGGTGGCTTCCTGTTGTCGTCCAAGGCAAGCTTGGCAAGGAACCTCAGGTTGTCCTTCAGTGTGGCCCTATTGAAGCATAGCGATGTGCTGCTGCCAATCTTGGCGTCGTCCAGGTTGAGCCTACAGTGCACCAGCAGGTGGTTTTCGCCGACGCCACCATCACCAGCTTCCTACTCCAGGTCGAGCCTATGATGCATGGGGATTTCGACGATGCTATCAATGGCTCCTGTCTTCTTATTCCTCGGCTTGCGGATCACTAGCAGTGGCTTTGCTATACATGTAATGTTCTACGATATATTTTTGTGATTTTTACATAGTATACATATGATGTTCTATATATGATGCTCCCTGATTATCTTTGAGTATTCATATAGAACCTGTGAGATGTTCTATGGTATATTTTAGGTTGTTCAAGTAGTGCTCATGTGATGTTCCTTAATGTATTTTATGTTGTTTTCCCTTATTTCCTCTATTAGTTTTTATTATAATCTTTTTTCTTCCATTCCTTTTTATTTCTTTTTATATTTTTATTTTGTTTTATCTCTTACATAGTTTTTTCTATATTCCATGAGATGTCACGTGGTATATTTTTATCTAAAACATAATTCTTATGAGGAATACTTTTTTCTTAGATTTAAATGGTCATCTACGGTTTATAACATAGTTATTATGACCGGACCGAAGATCGAATCAGCAAGGCCATCGGTTCACTGGACAACCGTTTAGAACCGATTGAACCACTAGCTCAACTATTTTGAACTGGATAAATTGAACCGGCCACAAATACATTGAGCCGGTATATGTATATGATATAATTAATAATTAACACATGGTAGCCAACACAATTTAATTGTACAAACATAAGATTCATGCATATGCAGATACATAATGACATGTTCTTAAAATTCAAAACATCAAGTGCATGATAACAATAAAATAAAGTTCATCTTCGTAGTTCATACATCATAGAAATAATGAAATATCGAAATGCAGAACCTGGCTAGCAGGTTCTTTAGTACAAAATAACGAATGTGTGATAACGTACTGACATGCTAAAAGTTTCAAACAAGTTTGTACTAAAAAGATACAACCACAGAACAAAACAATTGAGCCATGTTCGTTTGGCTTATAAGCCGTACTTTTTCAGCCAACGAACAATATTTTTCTCTCACAACAAATCAGCCAACAGTACTTTCAGCTAAACTAACAGGGCATTGGTACTCAATAAAAATCCAGTGGATCCCATTCATCTTCATGCAGCAGCATCCGGACTTGCTCCACCAACATCAAGTATTCAAGTGCAATGCCATGGTAATCAAATGCATCTTTCTGCCATTCCCTTTCCTGGTTCTAATTTCTAAGAATCTCATCACTTTCTTCCATTGCATGAGCCTTAACAACATCCAAGTCTAGCACCAATTCTGAAATTTTATTTATGAATTTAGATTTGATGGTAAATAAGCAAAAGTTATGTATGTTGAACTGATTTCACAATTGACAAGAGGCGTTACCATCGCTGCAATGTATACTCAGTGCGGACAGTTCAAAGCAAAAGGCGTTCAGTTCTTCAGAGTTAAGACGAGGTGGATTGTCTTCAAAGATCCAAGCTTCATTTTCCTTTCCAGTTTCTTCCAAACTTATTTTGTCATAATTTCTAGTGGAGAATTTGGACCTAATGTCGAAAAAAATTGAATTCATAGATATATATTATTTATGCAAACAGTTCAAACAAGAAGATAACAAATGCAAAGAACTAGAGAAGGGGTACCTTTGTCGCAGTCTCAGGTTACATTGAACATCCTAATATAAATATTTTATAAGTAAGACATACCATCTACATGGTGTAGTGGTGAGCAATGATTGCTTTAATCTTTTAGTCTTGTGTTCAACCTCTCCCACACATGATTTTTCCTATTTTCTAAATTTCTTCTCAAATAATTCTGTGATATGCCTTGTTTCCGTTCGAGCGGCCGGGCACAACAGCTTCCGTTGATGGAGTGCTCAGTGCGAGTGAGTAGACGACTGATGGCTATACGATACGAGAATGGTGTCTTGGGCCTCATGACCAGCTTATGTGCTCTATTGTATGTGTGCCATTGTAGCATGTTTGGCCTATGTGCATGAGCGCGATGGACTCTTTGAACCTGATGTGAACTCAAACATGCTTTTGAAACCTGATGTGATCATTGAACTTGATGTAAACTCAAACATGCTTTTGAAAGACTTATTATGTGACCATGTTTATAATTGGGCATGGCTTGCATCATACTTCCTGCATTCCAAATATAAGTCATTTTGGATTTTTAGATACATAGTTTTTGCTACGCACTTTTTTCTATGCATTTAAATATACACTATATCTAGATATATAATAAAAGTAATGTATCAAAAAAGACAAAACGTCTTATAATTTGAAATTTGAAGCGGTAGTTGATTGTGATCCTTATGCGTTGTGTGTGTACGCACATCCAAAGGACTACCCAGTCATGAAAAACAATATATGATTTAATCGGAAAAAAAAACTTATGCAGTTCCTCATAAGAATGTATCAAAACACGGAATGCTTATGTGCACAACAAATTGCACAGGGCAGAACCCACCAGAATTGTGTTTATTACAAATATAACAGATTTTGCCACTGCCACCCTGTGTTCCCGAGGACGGATCATGCGACTTTCCTATCAGGCAATGACGAACCTAACATCAGATACAACAATGAGGGGCTGCTACCCCCACTATAATAGAGTTTCTGAGTAGCAGCCGATGATCACAATGCGTACCCGCCCTGAGTATGCGTACAACAGTATAAACTCGTCAACAGATTCTCAGGCTCTAGCCATTTCTTAGCTCGGAGAGAAAGCTTTGTGCCAAGGAGAAGCAGGACTCCCTCTGTTTCTTGTACTCAACATACCGTAGAAAGAAGTATCCAAGATAGTCAAAGTCAATTGGGGATACCTTTGCCTGCATTCAAGTGCTAATCATTAAGTTTTGCCATTCACAGTATCTTTTACATGGAACTCAACCTAGATGATTCCAAAAAAAAACATGTGCGCAGAATCAATAACCTTGCTCACCTGAATAAGGGCCCATAATGCCCAGTAAATGTGCGATGCTAGTCTGAAAGTGTTTGTTTCCACATAAAGCACTTCCATATCTTGTGCCTGCGCCTTTCAGTTGCCCCCAAAAAAAAACAGAGAATCATGAATTCATCAGAACAGAAAATTCCAAATGTTCTGCCGTTGGTAAAGAAAAAATGAGAACTCCTGTATGTCTTTCAGCCTTCTATGAATGCCAAACATCTGAGATATCCCACAAACAAATGCTAACCATGTTCAGCTTAAGAACACTCTAAATATCAAACAAGGCATTACTAACTTCAAAAAAAACAAGCAAAGACAGAACTACTCAGCGTCAAATATATGTTACAAGAGAAGGTACTAGCAGAAAGATTCATTTACTCTAGAAAGAACTCGAATTCCAATAATAGATTTCAATTGGTTTTGTTTCACATACCTCACTAGGTCTATCAGGGCGTAGATAATTCCTGAAGAAGTGATACTGGGCATCTTTATCTGGGTACCTAAAAACACAATGAAATGTAACTGCTGACTAAGAACATGACAACAATATATTGCTTTGGAGTATTTCATTGACATGGAGATAACTTACAAATTATAGTCACAATCAAATCCTGCATACTCATTGAAATGATTTGCAATGTCATAGCCACGGTAGCTGTATGACCCATACTCAAAATCAATAAAATATAGCTTCCCTGACAGAGGAAACAACAGGCACACTGCCACTACGGTTAGTTTTGCAAATGAGTAATAATAAAATGGGGGGAAACTGATACAAAGGAAAATATTTTACCTTCCAAATCATTGAGCATCAGATTTCCTGAAAGCAAGTCATTGTGTGCATAAACCACAGGCGCATTCAGAATGTCCAAGAGATCCTAAAAGGTGCACGGACATTGATGAAGAAATATGAAGTACAGATAGTAGGAATTGGCAGGAGTAACTGCTATCTTCAGTTTTAGTTCCCTAGTATGGGCCTAAACCCATCACCACCACAACCAGCATTTTGCTTCATAACTATGCTACATGGATGTTCCCACTATACCAGGGAAAGATAAACTACTATTTGTGCCCAAGGAAAAAATAGGAAAATATCACGCTAAGAAGGGCAAAATGGGCCCGAAATATCAGAAGGTACATTGTCAACTTCAAGGTACCTTAAGTTCTTGAACTTCATCTTGTATTTCTCTAAATGAGATCTTTTCATATGTCTCCTGCTGCTCGTTATCCTCAAACTTCAATGCTGCAGCTGCAAGGTGCATTTGATAGCACACATAAATATTATTTATGTTACTAACTTGTGCCAAGAAAGGTGTCATGTTTGAGATGCCATTGACATAAAAGCAACAGTCTCAAACGAGCAACATAAGTCACCTACCTTTCTTCAAAAACTTGAATATATCATTCCACAATTGCGGTTTTTTAGACCCTGGTATGTCTACTTGATGGAATTTGCATAGCTCCTTGGCAATTTCAGCTGCTATTTTAGGATCTCTCATGTCTAGAAAACAAAATAATGAGGATCAGTAGATTTGTTTACAGAAGCATTTCATAAAACCTCCAAACATCCAAGGCTTGAAATTGACATACCAAATAGTGGATAATGCTGACTACAGGGAAAGGAAAAACACAATTCCTTTGAACTTGCATTTGAAATTGCAACTAAAACTACAAAGGAGAATAGAGAAACTATTCCACTAAGTTGATTAGGACCCCACACCCATACGTTATTCAGACGGGAAGTATGCC